ATTGTGCTGGTGCAATTCAAAATGTGGCGATATTGAAATGAGGCGGAGAATAATGGGAAACTGAGTGTGCCTTCTGAATTTCCCTAGAAGCGGCACTACCTTTTTAATGGACATTTCGAGCGATAATGGTAAGATACCAGAAAAAAATTGTGTCATATGACATTGCATATCTACTTTTTTTTCTTTTTTGGCCCCTGTGCTCCATGTCCATACAAACTCTTTTCCAATGGCCGTAATAGAGTTGACCATGCCTGCATAGGCGAGATGACTGTGGAATGGCCATATGGCGCAAACTTTTGGCCAGAACATTTCGAAATAAGGGGTGTAGTCGTTTACCACGCGCGCGGTGCGGGGATCGAATCCTGGGTCGTAGGTAGGCAACCATGCCTTCCATCCGCCGGGGTAGGGTAATTGGTTCCAGATCTGTTCGGAAGGATAAATAACACTGATTTGTTCATTAGCTGCGACCCCGTAAGTCGTATAGAGGCCTTTGTGCACTCAAGGATCGAAACTGGCATCAGATACGGAAGAGAGGTAACACTAAACCAAAACAGCTTAGCCCTGCGGCCCATTATGTAGCGCAAATGTGCACTCGAGTGCCTCAGCAATTTCGTATCTAACGAAGGGGTCTTTCAGTGTGTGAAGCACTTTTTCAAATGTTTTGTGCGATTTATAAGGTCTGTATTGCGTGCGAGTACGGACAACATCCATTTTTCACTGAGGCCGACAGAAAATGTGTAACAATTGGTTTTGAGTTTCGATTTCCCCGTGACGCTAAAAATTTTTTATGCAATTTTCTCAGCGTAAAAGCTCTCCAAACTTTCTTTCAATATTAGCGGCAGCACCAATAGTAGAGTTGGTATTGGTCATTGCGTAGAGCGTATACTCTTTGCTAGAATCCCTACACAGCACTCCATCGCTGTAAATTCGCCTACTTTTCTGATGAATTTTTGGCCCTCGGATAGCTGAGCAAAAATGGGCCTCAGTTTTGTAATAGCCCCTGCAAGGAACCGTTTTGAATAACCACTCCACATCCTGAAAGGCTTCCCTTGTGAGTCCGTGCATGGCACATCTTTGAAGATAATTGGCATCGGACACTTCAACCAGTTCCACACGAACGAGAATTCCACGATTAGAGGTGAAGCTCAAAGAAGGGGGATACACCTAGTCGAAGGGCAGGCGGTTCACTAACCAGGAAGGTCTTTCAGGGCGTGACAAGCTTTTTGAAAACGGTCTTTTGCATGATATAGGGGCAGATGCGGGAACCACAGAACCATGTTCAATTTTTCCTGAACGGCCCTCTGAATACCAGAAAAGGAGGTCCCTAGTTCGATTCCTCGTGGTAACAAATTTTTGCATTTCGAGTTGACGTGCCAAAATTCGCGCAAAATGGAGTTAGAACCAACCAGAACAATCAGAACTCCATTTTGCGCGAATTTTGGAACGTCAACTCGAAATGCAAAAATTTGTCACCAAGAGGAATCGAACTAGGGACCCCCTTTTCTGGTATTCAGAGGGCCGTTCAGGAAAAATTAAACATGGTTCTGTGGTCCCGCATCTGCCCCTATATCATGCAAAAGACCGTTTTCAAAAAGCTCGTCACGCCCTGAAAGACCTTCCTGGTGAAGCGCAGGACTGCGCGTTGCCAGCGGAAACAAACGCTCCGGCGGCGACCTAGCATGGCCGTCCGCGCCGCTTCAGCCCTTGATTGCACGCTGGTAGAGAAAGCCTTAGCAAGTGTGACTCCTAACGTAGTTCACTGACAGAGCCGATTAGCGTTGAAAGAGGGCAGCCTGATCGAATTTGACAAATGACACAGAGAAATCAACGAGCAGAGAAGGAGTCTCGATTTCTATGGTTTCCGGGTCGTTTTTCTTCGACATTTTTCCTCATTCTGCACCAACTTGGGGACACTCATGCTTAATATTTTACAATGGGCTGTATTTCGTCGTGAACTCCGTCTCAAATCATTCCTCTAACATCCAGAAAAGTGGATGGCGTTGGCATATCATATCACCGTTGGTTAGAGTTCCTAGTGAAATTTCTATCGGAAGAATAACAGAAATGAGCAGAACATATAAATCAATTGGATGAGAATATCCTACGGGGGCACCATGAGACGGGAACAGAAAGAGAGGCAATATTGCTGAGTCGAGCTAATGCTGTTAGTTTAGCGAACAGAATTCTTCCACTTCGTACATGAGCGATTCAAACCTTAGATGGAATCCCACCTAGGCTAGCAATAGCTCTGGAACTGATTGTTTCCATGTGGGAGCTGGATCTGTTGTACAAAGAGAGTGAGTGAGTGAGCCAAAAGGATCCGTTGTAATACAATGCATGGTGAAATCCACGGCAAGACCTTCGTGCTTGGTATGCTTGCGGGAGATAAGAAGTACTATTAACTACGGAGCCGTTTTCGAAAATCGTTTCTGTTCTTTCCACAGATGTTGGGCCTGGAAGTCGGACTCTGTTAGAGATAGAGCTTTGTTCTCCCTTGTAAATATCTCACTCTATCAAATCGTTTTTGATGTCCAGGTTACCTGAAGCAAAGGTGGATAGACACTATTCCACTTATTGAGATCATCCCCACCACTACATTCGATGGCTAGCCAGTAAGTGCTGAGCTTTTCTTTTCGATCATTCTATTAGAACTAACCACTCTGTTGTTATCATAGCGCATCAATGAGTGCAAAGATAAATAAATAAATAAACAAATAAACTATATGAGACGATGATGTGCTTGTCGATGATTTTGTTGAGAGAGGTTCTGTAATTTTAACTCATAATCATTAACTTCTCCGAAACTTCTTGACTTCAAAAAAGACTTCTTGTTGTCCAACTTTCGTCGGGTACGCTCTTTTCACCAAGGCTTTCCAGCGATCTCGATTCCATGCATCGTCTGCAGACAGGTCAGCAGCATTCATGTCGATCTTCACGTTGTCCATCCATCGTAATTTGGGTCTGCCTCTCGGGCGTGTACCAGTGAAGGTGATACTATCGGCTGATCTGGACACGGTGTCTGGAGGCCTTCGTAAAATGTGACCATACCAGCGTAGGCGGAGGAGGCAAGGGAATTGACGATCGGTTGGACCTTGATCTTGTCTCGAATGTCTTCGTTCCGAATGTGATCGAATCGCGTGACTTTGGACAAGTGGAGTCCATAAGAATGACTATTATAAAAGTTCTGCTTGGGAATATCCCGCGTAACTTCATCAGATAATCGTGTTGTTGATTTATTTCGAGGACTACTCAACCGAGCTTCAAAAATTGGTCTACAGTAGGCGACCAAGCGTGCTCTCCTTTCGTTTCGTTCTTGCCTTCTTTACAAATAAGATTGATTGATTATGCCCATAATTCGAAAGCAATTACAGGTTGACGAAAAATTACGTGGGCCGTGAAAAACACGCAAACAATATTTCTTCTACAAAAATTCGAAAGTAATTAATTTCATAAAATTCCAGACCATAATATTTTATAATTGCAAAGAAGTATCGAATTTGTCACCATAAGTTTTGATATAGGCCTCGTTATGATATGGGCCCTGTTTCTTCATCAAGTTGATCGTGTGGCGCAGGTGTTCGTGTAATTTACTTAGAATTTTAAACAGTTCTTCTGAAAATCATCATCCTTTTGCATTTCGATTCCTTAGCAGCTCTTCAATAAGGCCACAAACAGAGAGGTCTAATGGTTTCGAATTCGGACTGTCAGCAGGCCAAAATCCTTCTTCAAAAAGGAGCCATTACTGGAGAGCTCATTCCTGTTAGAAAGCAAAAATGGCTATGATTTTGCTTTCAGGAGACCACAGCCCTTCTGAGAATGCGTTCACTATAGACCTTCTCGTTGAATTTTACGCTTATAACAATCCTATGGAGGCTTGCCTAAAGCACTGATACGCCCACAAACATCAAACTTTCGAGAAACGAGTGTTCTTTACCGAACTCCTGCTGGTTCAAACTGAACATCAACGAAAGAGCATAAAGATGAAACTGGTGCGTGTCATTATACTCTTCTATGATGTGATGTTTTTAGCCGACTCCTAGCTGATTTCAGACTGCCGAACATCAACGAAGGCATAAAGATGAAACTGGGGCGTTGCCATTATACTCTTCTATGATGCGGAAAATCACGGACCGAACGAAGCCCCTCGACGACCTTACAAAGCCCGCCCACCGAACCACAAGCTCCACCACACAACAGCGGAAGCACAGGGACACAACACACCGACTATAGCAGCACAAAAATGTTTTGTTTTTTTGTTGAGATGGATATTTTGGAAATTTGAATATTTCTTTCACAAACTCCCTAACATTAGTCGTATGAAGTGGGTGAAAGTTTGACTTGGGAGGGCCTGGGTCATTATTTGGTATCTTATCCTTAGCTCTAGAGAGCACTGCTTTAGGTTCTCCCTAACACCGGGGTAGGATAATTACATATAAGAGCGACTCATTCGGACTGACCGGTGGATGACCCATAATCCTTCTTTTGCCGACCATATTCTATCCCCTTTTCTGCATAAGTTAATTTACAATAGAGCTCTGTCCTTCAGGCCGAAACGAAGCTCTCCATTTTCCTGATTCAGGACCGTTTCCTTAGACCATGGCAGGCAAAATTGTAAAAGCATCTCAGAAAGAACTCTTAAACTACACCGATATTTATGAGAAGTATACTTCGAATGATCGATGACTTCCCACGAGCGTTCTCATTTCGTATCTTAGCATTGAAGAACACAACAGGGAGTGCCCCTCTCCCTAATTGGATTTCATTTCAAACACCTGTAAACTGCTTTCATCATAACAGCACAACTGAGCCGTACATTGTCAACAAAGATTTATGGAGACAGTATTGAACACATAGAATTCTTAGACACACGCTAACTGCTTGACCCAGTAATAGATGGATTGATAACAGGATTACGGAAGAGTTACGACAGATTGATTCACGACTGGAATAATTTATGCGGAGTGAGATCGTTGAATCATGGTTACATGGTGTGATGTCGTCTACCAAACGTTTCTGCCGTCCTTCTTCGAAACCGTCTTCAGCACTTCACCCTGCAGATACGGGTTCTTGTTTGATTTTTGAAGATGAACTGTTGGATGTTGTCGAATGGAGCGCTTGCGTCGGGGTGGCAACTAGAGCATAACACCAGTCAGTAAAAGCGCTGTATAAATTAACCTCCCCTTCAAAAAACGAGAAAGTGTCGGGTGCAGAACAAACACCACAACTGACGACGGCCTCCAAGTAAATCTGGTTAGAAGTTGTTCATAGTGATAGCTGATTTCTGGTAAATGATAGTTGTAATTAGTGACAATCGATAGAATACAACTGCAACAGGCTAATCATTTCATTGGCAGAAAACATTAACATTTTCGTGAAGGCCGTCGTCACTTGTGGTGCATGGTCTGCACCCGACACTTTCTCGCTTTTTGAAGGGGAGGGACGTCAAGAAAAAAAAATCCGTAAACTGAACTATAGAAATACTGTTCAGCACTTTGACCATGCATTATTTCAATATAAAATTAGTAAGATCGGAGTAAAAAGTGAACTAAAAAATACTTGAGGAGGAGTGGGGGAGGTGGGTGAGAACCATGAAGAAATTCAACTTCCGTTTCGCACAGCTCTGAGAACCATGAGGAAATTCAACTTCCGTTTTACACATGCCTTCGCCCTCGGACAGGAGCAACACTGGAAGATTTATGCTCTCTTGGTACTCTATTACGGAAACATCTTCGTCTTTCCGCAGCTCAAAGACAGTGAATGCGATTTCTAGAAAGTCGTTAGGCGTAGGGAGCAGGATGAACCGTCACGTATTGTATATTCCTCAATCTTTACGGCTCTCCCCTCACCCTTTAAAGAGAGTCACGTCATATGAACTCCCGCCCCCCCCCCCTTTGAAGCTGTATGAATCTCTCCTGACTGCCGTCAAGCAGGGGTATAACCCTCACTTAGCACTTATTGTTAGACCTAGCAAGTGCATATTCTAGATAGCGACAACCTCGTGAATGTTTCCCAAAATGTCAACTAAAATCGTTCCTACTGTTTTCAAAAATATAAGGACATGAAGGCAATTGATCCAGAACATTCAGCAATAATAATTACAACAAACAAGTGCAATAGAAAAATCCCCAAATTTAAAGCGGGTCCTCGAGAAAACTAAGCCTAAAAATTCTGAAGCAAATACTTGAAAAAGGACAAGAACTTTCTTGCATGGTCTCACCAAATAACCTGTCATCATCACCTCCTTGTGATAACCCATAATTTTTTGGTGTTGATTAATTAATAATATCGCTTTCGACAGCATTTCCTCACCTCGTCTGCACTTCGTTTCTCGTGAAATTTCTTTGCAATCATGTTGCGATGAAGGGATTGTTCGTCGAGCAGTTCCTGAAGCGATGCTCCAAGATCGGATGCCTCCTTTTCAGCGCAGCTGGAAATAGAATAAGGATTTGCGTTGGAAATATTACAGAAGAATTTGGATTCGAATTTGATTTTGAAAGATGGTTTGGAGTTCCGTTTGATCAACTGATGTTTAGACTCCTCCATCACCTTTCGCTGTTTAGCTTAACCCACTGCCAGGGTTAAGCTAAACATCTAAGAGACCCGTGAGTGCTATTGTTGCAAAAATCACAGAGAAAAAGATGACAGTAACATGAGAAGCGGAGATCCCCAATGTTTTAAGGGCACGCTCCACTGTAGAACATGATGTAAAGCTCGAAACTAGAAGGGCGTGAGGGCTTCCATATTATCCCTTGTTGGAACCTCGG